CACATAATTTATGTACATACCTCTTCTTTCTTCATAATTATCAGCACCAATATTGCTATCTGGGTAACAAACACCAGCATTTGAAAACCCATATACTGGAAAAAAAGCCAAAAGTTATTTTGAAAAAGTGAGCAGTACAATAAAAAATTGCAGAAGCTCATGTATAATCATTTGTAACTATTATTTAGAGTGATTCCAACAAAAGTAAGATTTTTTTTTCCTGGAAACTTGCAGAAAGTGACATCACCATCTAAGAGGTAGGCTTCAGGCAAAGCACAGATTTGTTGGGCTGTGTTGGGCTTAAAGATGTAGCCATAACTTTCTTGGAAGTGAAGAACAAAAGCTGTTGTTAAGCAGCTGTGTTTCACTGAAGAAAATTCTTATTTCTTTATTTTCTTTATAATGGTATCTAAGTCTCATGCCTATTTAAGGACTCCTTTGAGCTATAAGACACAAAATCAAAATAAAAAGATAGTTGGTTCTGCTCGTTTTCAGTGATAACAAATTTTTACCTACAGTATCTAGATACTGTGATACTAGATGGTTTCATGGACGTTGGAAATGAGACACTTCTTTCATTGTCTAATAAATCGTGAGTTAAACACTACATGCTTAGGCAATAGTAGGAAGGAAGAAGGAACAAGGTTCCTGGTTATTGTACATGGGCTCCTCTCTTTCCTGTACAAATGAATATTGTAGTGCTTAACACATGAATCAGTAGCACTGTTCATTGCTTCAGCCTTCACTGTCTAAAACAGATCGGTCAAAAGGGATGACAATAAACAAAAGACAGAGGAAAAATATGTAATCAAAGTGATTATAAGAATATATAGAATATATAGTTACAGCACCATCTTTCAGAAATCCAAGTGTTCTTCTCTTAAAAAGCAGGAATTCTATATAAATATGGAGTCTCCAGGTAGGTCTACATGCACACAAAATTCCCTTTCATTTTACAAGAAAGCTGGAGACTGATTTACACTTACTGTAATGAGTAGACATTTGATTTCCAGAACTATTCCAAGGAATCCCATGGCTGATGTAAAAGTTATAACAAATCCAATGCCAAGTAATATACAAGAAATATATGTCACTAGCTGGTTCACCCCGAAGAAACTGTAACACAGTGTGTTTGTACTATTACTTCTTTTCCTTTTTTCTTTCTGCGACTTTCACTTACAAAACTTATTCCAGAAAAACAGTTAAATATTTTCAATGCTATTACTGAAAGGATGGAAATAGTGGAATGATAAAAGAGTATTATTATTATTTATACCTACAGTCACAGAGAGAAAAAAATATATTTTCATAAATTCAGACGATGGTAACAACATATGAGATGCAAACAGAACATTCTCAATTGAACAATGTGAACCACTCACAATGAAATCAGAAAATAATTACAAGTTTACAGATTTTTTGTGTTTGCCAAAAATTATTATCCCATATGCAAATTCTACGGGGACATAGATATAGTTCTCATCAAATTCAGACTCAGATTCAGGCTATCCTCCCTCTTTGTGACTGGTCACTTTCTCCTTTCCACATCAACCATTTTTGCATAGATATAGGAAGTAGAAGGGGTTTTTATTACTTCCAGCTGAAATGCGTTGTCCCAGAATTATTGCACTGGATGGTTCCCATCCCATCAGTTTGGAACTGATACTTCTCAACATTGCCTAGGCAGTCAAGCCTTTAAGAGCACAGCTGTAGTTATGTGACCAAAAACTTACTTCTCTGTGAAAAAAAAAATTGATAGACACTCTCAGAAAAAGGAATGTCCATACAGAGAGGCCCAAGGTCTTAAACTTTTATTCATTCTACTCAAATATTTACCTAAAGGATCTATAATCTTGCCAAATGCAGGTCAAATGCAGAAAAGATGAATAGAGGTGATTTGTTTTTCAGTGATTCATCTATAAGCTTTCCACCAGGAGAAATAATTACATTGCATAAATTATAAGAATATATAAATGGTAGCTATTAATGCTATATGTTTTCTCCTATTTTGATAATCATACCATCTAATGATGGAAAATGTACTCAACAGAAAAAACCCCTACAACTATGCAGTTCAATCCAATACTGCCACCTTGTGAAAATGAAAATCTATTACTGTTTCTGTTGATTACATAGAACCATACAATAAAATGGTTTGGGTTGGAAGGGACGTTAGAGATCACCTAGATTCAACATCCCTGCCATAGGCAGGGACACCTTCCACTAGACAGATTGCTCAAAGCCTCATCCAGCATGGACGTGAACACTTCCAGGGATGGGGCATTTTTTTAAAACAAATTATTTAAAACAAATTATAAAAAGAAAAATTCTATTTATACTCATATAACACACAGAAAAAATTGTTTCTGTCAAATAAAACCCACAGGCTAGGTCAAAAGCATAAGACCTAGAGCCTGGGAAAGAAAAAAAAGGAGGATTGTTGTTTTAATTAAAAACATCTTTAAAAATATTTTGAAGCTGCTAAATAAGAGAAAGAAAACAGATTTTTTTTTAACCAAGAAAATTCCATTGATGACACTTATACAGTAGTTCTGTATTAGTGTTTTACCTCTTATTTTTGTTCTTCTGTTTTCAGTTTTGAATCACAGCTGAAAAGACAGTCATGCATTCAATGTGAAACAAATATAACTAAGCCTATTGATTACAATGGTATTTATTTTCTTCAGATAATGTCTTATAAATTTAAACAGCCATTTAATACGTTGAACAAAAAATAGTAGCAACTGTAGAAGCATCAAGATGGTGTCTGGTCTCAATTGCATTTAATGTTACATTGTACAAATTTTTATTTTTTTTTAGCTTTTTTTTTTTCTTTTTAGCTGCTAAAAACATTTGAAAGCAGCCTGTATTTTGGAAGATTTATATGGCAAGAGTTACACAGTCTGGCACACACTTGTGCTTGTATTCTTCAATACACTTGCTAATTATTAAGGATACCAGCTGACATGAAGAGATGACAAATATGAAGCTTCTGCAGTCAAAAACTCTCTTGAGTTAACAACTTTAGATACAAAACATATGTTACATATGTATCAAATTTGTTTTTCAGAAGAAAAGATTCAGCAAACAAAAGCATTGCTTGCACTGTCAAAGTACTCAATGCCTGCCTGGATCATAAAACTTCTGTTGCTGAATTGCACAGTGAAGAAAGGTGTAGTAATATTCTCAAAAACAGAATGTATTAAAAAATTGGTGTGATGTATTGTTCCAGTAAAAAAAATCCTGAAAAAACCATGAACAGTTACATATTTTATTTGAAAACTGGCATCTGCAATAGTTCTGTTGTAATAATTTTGTGGTTTCAAAGCTTTATTTTGAGTCATTTTAATAATAATTCAGTTTATCTTAAATAATTTATCTGAAAATTAGAAATATTATCTTTATAAAATTACTTACATTTTATAATATTGTTTCTACATGAGAAAATCCTTACCAGCATTGAATATTTACATCCTGCCTTAAAGAGCACAGTCTAATAGGGATACATTTTTTCCTGAAGTCCAGTGTAACCACACTCTTACAACTGAGAAGTTTTCCTCTGTTGACTAGCCCTGACTTCCTGGATACAGGCAACAGGCCTGCAGAAATGTCTCTTTTATTGGCGAAGTTGTTTGCTAAATACATGACATGGTCTTCATTCACCATCGTCACAGCATAACACCTTCACAAAACAAGTACCAAATGCACATTCAAATCAGTGCTTAAAAACTTGACCAGATCGAAAAGTTCACCAGTTACATGATTCTGTAAAGGGGTGGATTTCAAATAGGTGAGTTTCCATTATTTTAATATTTAAATGTCTTACTCATCCATAACACTAGTGAGGAAACAGTAAAGGGTTGCCCTTGAATCCAATATTTTGTACTTAACATCCATAAGTCTTTCAGAAAGGCATTCAGTTTATTCTAAAGATTGTAGATAGGAAAACCCCTACCATTCTTGTCAGATTCTTCCCATTGCTCCCAAAATGCACATTTTCTATGTAAAACCTGACTTTACATTTCAGCCTTGATTTTTTTGTTATACCTGTCTTTGCATCTTGATAGTCCTCATCAGTCTCAGGGTCATATGCTTTCCCTATGAACACCATTACACACTAAAATGATATTATCTGTACCCTGCCTGCCCTGTATCGCTTTTGGTAGACTGAACCAGAAAGGAACATTTTATACAGGCAGACAGTGATAGAGCAAGGGAGAATGATTTTAAACTAAAAGCAAGGAGATTTAGATTAGATGCTAGGAAAGAATTCTTCACTCGAAGGGTGGTGAGGCACTGGAATGGGTTGCCAGAGAGGTTATGGATGTCCCATCTTTGGAAGTGTTCAAGGCCATGTTGGATGGGGCTCTAAGCAATCTGGTCCAGAGGAAGGTGTCTCTGCCCACATTAGTGGGGTTGGGACAAGGTGATCTTTTAGGTCCCTTCCAACCCAAACCATTCTGTGATTCCATGAGCACCCTTCCTGCCTCGCCAGGCTGACCACCCCAGAGCTAGCAGTGCCAGTGGGACACTGGCCTTTCCAAGCCGTGACAGAGGCTCCGTGTGTGAGAACAGAAAGCATGTCTGGCGGGTTTTCATTTTTCATGGCTCTGGAGTTCTCTGGGCAAACAGGAAGCAAAATCCCAGTGTTTTAATCCACCTTCAACTTGTCTTTGGTCTGCCTTTTTTTTTTTCCCATGATTAATTGCCTATTCCAATTTATTGTGAAGACTAAATTCCAGTCTATTACTTAAAAAACAAAACAAAACAAAACAAAACAAAAAACACAAACAACTAAAGAACGCAAAAACAAACAAACAAACAAACAAACAAACAAACAAAAAAAAACAAAACCAAACCAAACTAAACCAAACACAAAAAACCGAATAAAATACTGCAAGGTGCTCCTCTCGACGCTGGGAGACGCTGCCTCCCGCCCCTGCAGCAAACGGCAGCTCCAGGCGACGTTTGGCTCCTCCCGCTGTCCGTCCGAACCGCTGTTTCCCGTTGCCCTGGTGACGCTCCCGGCGGCGCAGCGGCGGGGTCTCGTTCTCCGCACGGAGCGCCTGACCGGCCGCGGTTGGCGGCCGCGGGATTTCAGAGTGGAGGGTTGGCCGACCTCCGGAGGCGGCCGGGCAGAAGGGCCTCCGGGAGAGGCTGGGGTGAACGGTAAGTGAATGGGTGCGTGGAGTAGACAAGCGGGACTGGAGGGCGGTGGGTGCCCCGAGGGATGGACTACAGCTCCCAGCATGCAAAGGGGCGGCTCCTCCCGGGACGCGGCGGTTGGCGGGGCTGTTTCCCGCCGCGATGCCTTTTGGGAGGTGTAGTTTTAGCTCGCCAGGTCCGATCCGTCCCGGCTGCGGTGCGCTTCGCGCGTTCTGTCCACTGCTGCAGGAGTCTGCGAGGGACCAGGAGCTGCTCACTGCCTCAGATGGGGCGGATCTGGGCTGCCTCCCATGTCCCTTGATTGAAAAGGGGCACGAGTTGCGCAAGGAGGGAGGTGGGATGACGGAGAACCCGTTTTCCTCTAGCCTGGATCCATCCACAAGTCTTGTTCTTCTGTGGATTGTGCCATTTCTCTGCATCACTAAAACTTCCATGAGTGCTTTCTGGATTCTTAGTCTTATTTTGTAATTGTTAATACTTATTTATTGTTCAAAACTTTTTTTCTCCTTGGTAGCTTATAGGGCTGAAAAAAATTCCTTGTGAATCTTAGGTCATGGCACTGATACTGTTCACAAACAGTAGAGAGCAGGCAGAGGTTTTTAATGTTGAAATTTCATAAAATTTGCAAAATTTTGAGTGGTTGTGTGAGGGGGACTCTCCTATCACAAGGTAATATTTTTCTTGTTTCTGCTTGTTGTTATGGAGCGAGATGTTCATGTTTTAAGCCAACTGTTCAATAAATACATCTGAATGAATGTAGGCTAAGTGAATACTTTATTTTTGTTCATGCTGTGATGAAAAGTATTATTTTCTTTGTGTAGCTTTGAAAACAGATAAGACACTGTGTAAAGTACAATGTCAGAAAATACTGAAGGAATTGAAAAAGAAATAGAAATTGAATTAGGCAGAATCAGCGTTACGTCCTTTGAAGCAGATGATCCTGACACAGAGGTATCAGACGAACCCTTGAGTGACAGTGAGACAGTAAGTATTCAATGAGCTAAAACTGCTTCTCTTGCTACTTGAAAGTTGGGCGTTGGGAATCATGTAGGATGAATGAACGTATTCCTGGCATATCTAACCTGAGGATTTCTTCTGTAAAGTAGTCTTGGTAGTATTACGTCATGGAAAGTGAACCTCCAGTGGTGACAGGACAATAAGAGAGATGAATATCAGCATTCTGCTTAAGTGAGAAAATCAGACTCAGACCTTTTGTTTCAGAATCCTCTGGAGCTGGAAGATTTGATCGAAGCTATAGAGGTGGATTAAATCTGGATGAATAAGCCAATGATTATTCATTGAAATCTGTATCTAAAATCTTACAGGAGAATGTCTTATGAGATTCCTTATGAGACTTACAGATATTAATTTCATTTAAATGGGTGCTTCAAATCCTCTTTTTGAAAGACTTCTTGTTTTGGGGAATCATTTTCCTCTGAAATACAATTAATTATTTGGATCCTTTTCAGCTATTATTATCTTTCAGACTAATAGCAAAAGGATTGGTTTGTAGGATATTAGGGTAGATAATATTGGTCATATGTGACCATAAATCATGTTTGATGACATAAAGATACACAAAGGCAGTATGTGGTGTTTGTGCACTCACATACTGAATGTCAGCAATGTTTACCACAATTTGCACCACTGAAAGAAGGCAATCCATTTTCCCAAATTCTTGCAGAAAAAGACAGTCTTTTGAATAGAAGGTTTCTATGTAGTAAAGAAAGTTGAAGCATTGGATTTACATGCATACTTTAAACATTAGTAAATTTAAAATTAATTTATTTTTTAAAGAACACTTTAAAGAAAAAGATCCTGTGCATGGTAGTTATTTGTTCATTTTTGTCTCATCCTTTTCCTTAAGTTCTTGGTCCAACACAGTTATAAACACAATTAATTGTTACATTGAAACATGTTTCTGATGTCAGTGAAAAATAAGTTACTAAAATTTGATTAGAATGTAATTAAAATCAGAATTATTAATTGTTCAGTGGGTGGTAAGACAATAGAAAGAGTGTAGAAATTGGGAAAAATTTTGGTGGCAGTTGCTATTAAATCTCCATCGATGCTTTATAGGTGAAGCCAAAATGAGTCTACATTCTTACATGTCAAGTATTTACCTCTGTCAGACCTGTGAGATGAAAATGTAGAATTTATGTCAAAGGTCATGTTTTTCTAGATTTCAGATGGCTTACCAGAATCAGTTCTCTCCTATTTAAACTTTATCAAGAGCAGCAATCAAGATGCTGAAAAGCTTATACTGCAAGACTTAGAAGATGAACAAACTACAAGTAAGCAGGGATCACAATTCAAATGTTTGTGCACCTTGTATTGCCAGTGGAAGTTAGCATAAAAATCATTAGTAAAATAATGCAAAATTTTAGGTAGTGCAAGTTGTGAAATCTATTCCATCAGCTTTTGAACACGTGCTGAAAATCTCTAGGCATAAAACCATGCAACGATATCTTCCAGAATTTACATCTGGGTATGAATTGAAATTTTCAAAAATTGATCTAATGCTAAAGGAGGCAAGTTGGAAGATCACTCTCTGAAACAGGGCCTGGCCCAGACTCTTCATGAAAATCTAAAATGAAGTCAGTAGGAGCTGAACTTCAGAGTTCAGATACAATTGACCCCTATAGGATATGTTTGAAGTCTGTCTTGAGAGATGCCGAAGCTAGCATTAAAATAAATGACCTTGTAATTGGGAACAATATTGCTGTCAGCTGTGTGACTGAAGCCAAGCTCATAGTTCATATGCCAGAGAGCTGGCATCGTCTGTTCCATTAGTGCAATAGTCTTCATGAACAGAAGTTCAATATTGTCTATAAATTTAGATATTTGATGAATGTTTCTTTTTATCCTTTTTTTGTAATGCAATCTTACTCTTTTTCATTGTTTTTATAGTTCTTTGTCAGATTTTGACCTATTTCGTACAAGTTCTACTGTATTTTTTGCACAGAAAATGTTCTGCTGTGCTCCATACTGTGGAATTCTCTTTCATATTTGCTATCGCTGTATTCTTACAGTACCATTGTGTGTATTTCTGTTACACATATTTACTGCTTGTAATGTAGATAAATGATTCCCACATATATTTAAGTAAAACTGGGGGAGAAGGAAAGGAAAAAAAACCCCAGCTTTATTTTAGTTTAAACAAATTGAGTAGCTAAGGAGTACAGACTAAAACTGAGCACTGGTAAGGGATTTTTCTCTCTGTGAATTAAATTATATATTTATTTTTTCTTTAGATGACATTTATGGAGTAGTTTCTTGTCATACTTCTGAATCAAATGAAGATCCAGAACAATTTAAAGAAAAGGTATTTTTTATTTATACAATATTTATAGTGGACAAAATTAATATTAAATAATCTAGATAACTTACATTTGCTTTGGTGACCTCCTAAACTGACCTATAAATGTGTTCAATTTATTTGTTTCAGACTATTCATAAGGCATTAAGATGAGTTTGTATATACAACTCTTTAAAACTGGGACATCATCTGTAATATACCATGTCTATAAGCTTTAAAATTTAAAATAAATTCTCTGTATCAATCCTTGAGATACTGAACACAAAAATCAACAAAATTAAATAAAAGTGAATAATCCTTTATTGCTAATTATTTGAAGAATAGTATGATAACACTTTTGAGTTTCTCTAATCTTATTTTTTTATGATCAGGAAGATGTGCTACTATTAATCTTGATCCTAATACATTCCATAATTTAATAGAAAATGTAGACATAGTAATGTCTGTGCCTTTCAAAGACAAAGCAAGAGTTATGAACATCAGTTCTATATTTTCATAGGATTTGGCTGAATAACTCGCTGAAGTTCTTAGAAAAACATAAAACTGAATTTAATCACTTTTAATTTGTCGTCTGGCTTTTATTAGTGAGCACTCTTGCAAACATCTTTCTTTTTTTCTCAGCAGACCATTGTTTAGGACAGCACAATTACTTCATGTGACTTTAGCTGCATTGCAAATATTAATATATGCCCTAAGCATGTGATGAATGAATGATAAATGAGCAGGAATAGATTATTTGCCAGTAAATAACAATGAAACAAATATAGCAATCTTTGTGACCATAGTATTATTTTGAAACAGACTTCTTAAACATTTACTCTGTTACTAGTTCTTCCCCAATGTGCATAACAGTATTAATGTAAATATAGTGCTTGGTTCCACAGAAAGTAAAATAAATCCCAAATGCAAAATATTCATTTTTCCAAGTCAAAGTGTAAAGTATATTTTAAAAAGCACATAGAAATATTATGCGTTTCGGGAAATACTGCAAAATTTATTACTCTAGAAAACCATAGTTTGACTGACAGGTTTGCATTAATCAGTGTGTGAGGATTCCAGTCAGTTGTGAGTTTCATATATGATAAAAAGATTATCCATGTTCTGGAAGATTTTTATAATGTTCTGCTTTTAAATTTTGTTTCTTGTTTTTTTATAACAATATTAAACTGTATTAGATACTGTTTGAAATTGAAAACGAAGTCTTGCAGATTACTGCAACACCTACTTATAGTCAATCCACCAGTGATGAACTGGTCACTGATGACCACTTACTTACAGGTAAGCAAACATATTAGTCATTTGGTTGAGTTGATCTTTAGCATCATGTCACCATTTCTTGCTTTTCTGTTTTCATAAATATCATAACATTTTTTGTAAAGAATTGCACATTGCATTATACAGCAGGGCTTGGTACTTGATGAATTGGACATGAGTAAACACATGTACTTTTGTCTCATTTCAGGATGACAAAATCATCATAGGAATTTGTATCAAAAAATACCACCAAAAAAACTATTTAAATAATTATTAATAGAAATTGTAAACCAGATTGGAGGCACTAAGCAGGTTCTGCTTTGACTATAGCTTCTTTGGGTTTATTTTAGTAGTCACATTGGCTGGGAATGTTTCCTTTTCCGTGGCTTTAGGATAAGTTGAACTGGAGTGTATGAGTTGTAAAAGCCTCACTAATAGCCACAGAAGACATCTTGTATAGTCGTGCAGTATGCATTGTTAGAATAAGCATAATAGTTGCAGAGTCGGTAAGTGTGCAAAATAATAATAAGACGTCCCTGATGCAAAGGACTCATGCTGTAGTTCTGATTTCCTTGGGGCTATATATTGCTGGCTGTATCAGCACAGCATCCTTTCCTTGTCAAGTACTATAAGACTGTTTAATGTCCCCCAATGCTTATTAGAAAATTAAAAAGCAGGTTTGCTTGGTTGATTGCAAATTCATAGCTGGTCTTGAAATGAGCATAAGCCTTGCTCATCATGAAGTAGAAGAAAAGTGTAGACAAGAACTTGAGCTTGAAGATCAGAAGAGGAAAAAGTGGAAGGCTGAGAGAGAATTACGGGAAAAACAAAATGAAGAAGAACACGCAAGAAGGGTACAGCACCTGGAGCAATTTGAGGCTGAAAGAGTAAAGTTAGACCTTCTTCATAAGGTAATTAATGATATTGAAACCAATCTGTTCCCATCTAGACTATCTGAATTCAAGATCTAATGTGAAAAAGAGAGTACTGTCCCACACTGTATCACTGCTCTAAAATCTGTCTACTTGTTTTACCAAAGTGATTTGTAAGACATATTTAAGTATAATCCATTGGGTTTTATGTGTTTACTGCTTTGATCAACAGCAAGTGAATTTGCTGTGCTAAGTGTGAAATTATTCTTGAAGCTTTGCCCTTACAAAGTTTTTATATTATAGCAACAGCCAAAGTACCGAGAATAAGAGATGTGCTGAAATAATCACAAATGAAAAATGGTCACTGTGCATTAATAGAAAAAACTTACCTACTTTGGACCTCCCACCCCAGTTTCACATTTAAATGTAAAAACTTAAGTGCAGTAATTGGAACCAAAATCATTCAGTTCAGCAATGCTGGCGCTGTGCTCCATCTGGGTAAAAGGTACAATACTTCCTTTTCTTGTCTTTACCTGGGAAATTGGCTCAGGTTTTATCTACTGAGTTTGGAGAAGGAAGGTGGCAGTTGTTTGGGTCAGTACCAAGACACTAACTCTCTGAAGATATGCATCTCTCAGTACATGTCCAAATCTTCGTTACTGATGCAAGCGTCCCGTTGTTTAGTTTAATCCACACACAGCTGAGTTTCTCATTTAAATTCAGGCATTCATGAAAGTGGACTGTTGGAAAGTAAAGAAGATGGATGAGATTGGAGAGAGGGTGTTTTGTGTTGTTCTAGGTTTTGTACAATATTCATTTATGTTAATTTGTTGTGCAGAAACACCAAGCTGCAATAGAAAATGAGCTACAGAAAGAAAAAAAAGCTTGGAGAGACAAAATGATGCAGCAAGAGGTAAAGTTACAATGAGCTTTTGTCAAAAGACTGAGATTACTGTCATATATTTGAGAATAAAAGTTATTCTGGAACAGTTAATATACCAGATCCTGTTTATTAATGATAAATATGTACCAACCACCATAAATATATACCAACATCATTTTAAAAGTGGTTGAAGTCTATCTTAATTGTTTTGGCCTAGGAATTGATCATGAAGCTACAGTTGCAAATGGAAGAGGAGAAAAAGGCCTTGGAAGAGCAGAAAGCAAAAGAGAGACATCAACTGGCTGAAAAACAGAATATAGCTGCTGTGAAAATCCAAGCTAGATTTAGATCATTTTTAGTCCATAAAAAATATGCTCCCATCTTAAAAGAACAAAAATATGAAATGAGAAAGAAGCAGAAAATGCTAGAAGAAATAGAGAGAGAAAGGAAAGAAAGAGAGGAAAAAGTGAAGAGGCAAATGGAGGAAAATAGGCTTAAGAGAGAAGAGGGAAAAAAGAGACAAGAAGAACTTGAAAGACAAGAATATTTGGAACAGGTGAAGAGGCATGAGGAATATGAGAAAAAGAAAGAAAGCCTGAGACTGGAAAGAGAAAAGCAACTGCAAATAAAAAGAGAACAGACAAAACAAGGACAAAAGATAGTAAAAGCTGTGATGAGTGCAAGTGGAGAAAATAACAAGGAAAACATAAAAAATTATAATCACACAGAAAATACGAAAGTAATAAGAGAAAAAAATAAGGAACTAAATGAGCAAGGGGAGCAACGAAAAGAAAAACGTGTTGAAATGATGGATGAAACAAATAATTGGATGATTCTGGTAGAAAGAAATTTGATACCAACACAAAGTATGCTAGGCTCTGAGAAGGAACATTCTTCTCAGGTAAATAATGAGAATATATATGTGAATCCAGTAACACAAATAGAAGAAAATTACTCACAAACTAGCTATCTTAATGAAGCTCCAAATAATCATACTTCAAAGAATGAATCTCTTAACTTTGGAGCTAATGACATGGTAGAAAATAAGGCAAACTGCATATGCAGCAGTACACCAGATGTCCAACCAAATGCTAGTAATAGAGAAATTGAAGATCAATCTTCTCAGTATGAAACAACGAAGAAAACTGTGTGTCTAGTGGAAAATGCTAATGAGGAAGTCAGAGACACCTGGAACAAAATTCAAGATGTAGCAGAGTATTCCAGTAAACTAATTTTTCCTGATGGTATTGAAAAGAAGAGAATAAACTGGATGAACACATGTAAATCTTGGTCTAAAATATATGAAGAAAACCAAAGAAAGCAAGCAACTATAAAAAAACGACCAAGGAAGAGTTCAGTTAGCAAGATGCCTCCATTAAGTGCAGAAAAGATAATTCATAGTGGCCCTTGGAGCACCTTGCAGCAGGTAACTATATGGAAGATTTAGAATGAAATGGAAGACTATACTATAATTTTTTTTTAATTTGGTATGTCAGCAGAATGCTGTTTGGAAGAGAAGGAGGTTATTGTTGATCAGGATGTAGATCTTATGAGACTTCCTTTGCCCAAGTGCAGAATAAGGGCAATGACAATGACTTTTGAATTCCTGTGAGTGTCATGGAGCAGACTGGTGTGTTATTAGTCTTCAGATGATTGATAGTGTCTTAAGCCTGTAAAAGGCAAGAGCTCCTATTGTCTGCTAAATTAACAAGGTTTTGCCTTTGTATGAAGGCCCACATTTCAGCTCCTACTCAACTAGCCCCTTCGGAGTTTTGAGAGGACTAGTCTGATCTAGAAGCAAGATATTACTGATCAGCTTGTAGGTGGTGTTTTGCCATAAAGAACATCTTCTGGTTCCCAGGACTTCTTTTTCTTACCACTTCCTAACTTATCACTGTATGCTTGCTCTGTGCTCTCATCTTGCTATCCACTCTAAGATGACATACTCGACTATAAACATTTTTAGTCTGAACTATTGTTGTCTGTTCTTTTACACTCATTATTTATGATACTGTGATAATTGTTTTCATACTAACGTCTCCCATTCAACAGATCAAACCCACCATTTTCATCCTTTTCTATACAAAAAGATTAACATAAGTTGCTTGCATTTTCTAAAATGTTAGTAGATTTTAGTTTTGGTCTCTTTTTCGTCTTAGTGAAAATGACCATAATATGATGATGTACCATGAATGTTCAATATATAAAAAATTAATTTTATTTATCAATAAATGCATGCAGGTTACAACACTTATGCTTGAAGATTTGCCAGCTTGTAGCCTCTCAACGTTATCTGAGTGTTCAAATCTTCAAGTTTTGACTCTGAGGCGCTGTGGACTAGTTTCACTGGAAGGACTAAGTAGCTGCAAAGACCTGAAGTATATCAATGTGGAGGTACCAAGGATATTTGATTCTTTATTGTAACATGGGGAAAACTACCAGTTTTGCTCCTTAGTTGATTGTATAGTTGTGTCCAACTGTATATTACTTATAGTGCCTTAAGACCATAGGAGTATCAGCAAAGTATTTCCAGACATGAACAAAGTTATATCAGCAGATTTGCAGTGCATATAACAAAAAACTATATGCTGCAAATTAATTGACTGTACTACAAAAATATCAGTCTAGGATTAGTGCTAGTATGGCACAGTGATAGATCTCTGTTACCTCAGTCTCTCTGATTCATGAGTGGGCAGATGCTGTTCACCATAGCAGGTGCTCAGCTTGAGCAGGAATAGGTAGCATTAAGAGTCCTTTGCAATACACACCTCAAATATTAATTAAAATTACTAACAAGGAACAGCACAGTGAGTTACACTAGAGGCATAATGTCTAGGTATTTACTACTGCACAGTGTCTTACATGGCCTTGTTTAATGACTAAAGAAAACTTTTTCTCTGTAATGCATCTTCATTCCAGAACTTGAAAATTTACATGAAACAGCTTTGTTCAAATTTTTAATTTCATAGATTTTAACAACACCAATTCACAAGAAGAAGAAAAGACCAAGCACAGCAACTAGTGAAACAGAAGTTTTGAGGTGGCATTATTAAAATGACCTGGGGAGGGGGATGTTAAAAAAGCAAGATCTTTCACGGGAAGGATATAAGCTTAGAACACTGTTAATGTTTGGGACCAAAATACCTCTAAATGCAGACTTTCACTATTAGTAAATAGGATTCCAGCAAAATTACAGTGGTCTTCATTAGCATCTAGTAAATATGATTGTTTCTTTGCAGTTTTTAGTTCAGTCTCCCAGTTTGGGAAGCTAGGAAAGCACATCTGGAAAAGACTACTCTGTCCTTTACTTTTACACTTTTTGTTCCAACTTCTGGGCTTTTTCAGAGCCAGAATGAAGTTCAAAATATATTTTTATTCTATTCCAGCAGGACACAAAAGGCAATTTCTGTGACTCATTTTATTTTCGTAATGGAAAAAACAGATGCCCTTACTCCTAGGTAGATGTTTAGAATAAAAATAAACAATGATGGCAATCTGCTATATTTTTACTGCTATTTCACTTCAGATGCTATTTAATATGCTCATTTTCTTTTTTTGCAGGAGAACAACATTCAGATAATTGACTGTGAAAATCTAGAAAATCTTTGTATTCTCATTCTGAGTAAGAACCATCTTTCATCAGTTTGTGGCTTAGATGGCTGCAAAAATCTTCAAAATCTTGAACTTTCCTACAATAGAATCACTCGATTTGGTAAGAAAATTATTCCAATTTGTATAACAATATTCATGCAGTTTATATTCAGAATTAATATTCCCCTTGGATTCAAAGCCAGTCAGCTGCTAAGCCCAAGGAGAGTGAGGAGATAGACTTAGAAAAAAACCTTCATTTTAAAGCATTCTTAACTTCACATATATTTGTAGTATGGCTTAGCTATTGCCATGTATTCCATCTACCAGGTTGGCTATTGTCAGCCAAAGAGAATTAAAATCTTTCTGGAATGGCCACTAATATTATCTGCACTAACTCAGCTGGAATATGTGAGTAGCCTGAGTTCAGTTTATCTACAGACATAATGAATGTAAACCCTAGCCTTGCAACTGCAGAGAATTCCAATGTGTTCCTGACTGACACAGTAAGTAGTTATATAGAAATCGTGTTGTCTGTCTGAGTCTGCTGGACAGCAGGAAAATAATTTAATACAATTATTAAGCTTATAGATGAAACACATTCAGATAAGACCTTTATATAAAGCAATAGTTTCCACCGCTAAAAAAAAATTAGACTGGAACAGTATGAACATGGATAATGCAATTCCTTGATAAATGACAAGGGCAAAGAAAACAGGAAATAGGAAAGTGTAAAAAAAATATCTGTAGATGTAGAGGCTTTAATGTTGATATTTTCAATATATTTTGCTAACATGTGCAAATATTAATATTCATGAAGATACCTAAGAATACAAGTGCTGGGAAATCAATGTTTACTGTAAAAGCATATCCGTACCCTAATGAGAAACAGTAAAATAAAATGCTTAAAAATCTTTATCTGTATCCTTATGGCAAATATTGCTTGATAAGTTCTTATGCAGATTTATTTAATTTGATAAAAATGTCTGCAAGAGTACTGTAAGAATTACTTAGTATTAATGGATGACATTTAAGAATGTGGCATCTGTGTGAAGTGTAGTATCTTTGTACAGGCCAAGTGGAGTAAAATCCTCTTGTACTTTCTCTTTTGTGCAGTGCACTGCTGCAGTTACCAAGTCTCTAACAATCTTAAATGGGTAAATAAATGTTCGCAAAAGTCATCTTGAAATCTGTTTTTCTCCTCTCCAGAATTGCTTTGAGGATGCTTGGTTAAAACAGATGCATAATACAGGATTTATTTCACACAATAACATACTGGTTGTGAGTAGTTGCATAGAATACACAAAAATGTATTTATGGGATTTAAGAACTTAGCATATTCCTTACATCTGTAAATCTTGCAGGATGTCCCTTGGCAATTTTGGAAGCTGCAGTACTGTGCAGTAAGGCTTATTTATGTTTGTAATACTTAAGTTTTAATAATTTATTTTCGGAAACGTCTAGCATAATATGATTTCTATTTTTAACTCCTCTCATTGAAGTATAGCATCAGTAGGGGAAAAATTAGAATTGCCAGCAACCCCTTAAAAGTATCACTGAGAGAAATAGTCTCAATTATGCTTTTCGACTTAAGAATACACAATTGCAAATTAAGTAATTGTGGCAGTAATACACTGAAGTTTGGTGCATATGTTTGTATTTGGAAGATGAATGCTTTATTTAAAAGTTTTCTTATGCAAAAAGTAGCATTTTGACTGGAATCATTGAATATGCTTCTGTGGGGTATCTATATTGCCATAACATGTTGGCTAAAATCCTTGCAGCTCAAAAATAGCAATGCATCACCATGGATAGTCATAAATTCTGCTTTGGATCTACTCTTTTTAAGACAGCACAAAGAAGATTTTTTTTTTTTAAATCAAACACCTTTCAATTTTGGTTTTGTTGTTTGAGGTTTCTTATGTGCTTTTTTTCATATTTATGTTCACTGTCAGCTTTTACTCTTATCATTCACCTTTGTCACACATAGAAGTGACTTCAGAACTGCATCAGTAGCTAAGATAGAATCCCTAGCTAACAGATTCCAGCTGCACTTTTCAAATTGTTAAGAGCTACTTATATAAAGGTTCTCCTCAAATTTTGCTGAAACCATATGTTTGTCAACAAAATGCTTTTCCTTTACAGTACTATAGCTGTTGTTTGATGCATCATATGTAAAACAGACAATATCTTCTGGAAATATGCAGAAGACCTTCATGCTTATATTTAATTTTGCATGGGGGCAGATAAAACATTAAAATACCATCTGTTGGTATTATATTTTTCTTTCTTCTGTATGTTTTTGTTGGACTGTGTTTGATAATTCCAGAATGGATTGTGATCTTGTTGTATGTAGCTTTGACCTGTCTGTTCCAAATAACACTCAGATGAGGAGAAGATGTAAAATATGTGCTTTGTGCCCCGTGTAGAATAGGAAATTTCCAGATCCTGTATTACCTCCTTGCCTTTTCTTACTGTGTGTTCAGTCTCTCCTCTCTGTCCCACTCCAGGCTCATACAGTGCTTTTAAAGTTTCTAGTACTACAATGGTGGTAATTGAAAAGTGGAGATTTAAGGATTGCTCTTAGGACGAGGTCTTGGAAGCTGTTAACATACTCTGAAACAAGTGTTTTGAAACCGCTAGATGGTGCTGGTTCCTTTTTAATTTTTATCCAAGCATAAAAGAAAACTACAGACCAGGATCTTGCAGTCAAGATAGTATGTCATGGGCATGTCTGAAATTCTTTCAGAATAATTAAAAAATTGTATATTTATTTCCTGAAGCACAGTTTTGAAGTTAAATTATGGGATATTTTTGTTATATTTAGGATGATATCACTGTAATATCAGACAATTCTATTTTTTCACTAGGTGCTTTCCATTTTTAAGTTAAAATTACTTGAAGGCCTATATTTGGGATTTTTAAAATGTGCTGCTAGTTTTGGTATTTAATTTTTTACTTTATATTTCTCCCCATCATTTTTTTTTCATTTTTAAGTCCTCTTCTCTGTTCTCAGTACTCTGTGGTGAAAACTAATCTCTGATTTCATAATCCAGTTTGTTTTCAGAGGACAATCACAAAGTAATTAACTGCTGTAAAGCTCACTCAGCTTCCTTGTGGGAACTTGGGAAGTTTTGGGTGAGATAGAGATGAGATAAAGTATTCCCTCAAATAATCCTGTGACGAATACATGAAAGAAAACTCAGAAATTCCTAATTTTAGATACATTTTGTGAAGGGTGTCCCTTCAAAGCAATTTTACTCCAGAGATACAGAAAAGCTGCATGGACCTATAGTAAGTCAGATGCATCAGTGCCACTGCAGAACATCTAACATGGAAAGACAGTGTCATTTCTGCTGTTGGAGGAGGATGATTTGGGTAACATTCTGTGAAACAAACAGATGCTGATGGGAACCTTTTAGACATCACACACGTTCTTACTCTTTAGACTAGCTGGCAGGAGTAAATTTGTTGAGAGTATAATGGCTATAGTAGTATAGCTTTATTTTTAAAGGCACTAAATTGTCTTTACAAATTTCTTCATTAAAAATATTTTATGACATAATTCCTTAAACAAGATGAACTTTAATAATCAAACTGGCGATGGCCTAAGTTTTAACAGAATTTTTTTCTAACCTTGCTGATACATTAAAAAAAAAAAAAAAACAAAAATGAAATTATGGAAATTAACTTTCAAATATAGTATTTTCATTCTGGTGGATCGTTTTAAATGGGCTGTTAGTATTCACAGAGTTCAGAGCGGTTATAAAGTGGTTAAAGCATAGTAAATACAGTTTATTGCTAAAAGAATGCTCTCATCCAACAGAAGTACTAAAGAGATTATGACCTGTTATTATTGATTGATTAACAGGATCAGAAATTTATGAACTGTATGCATTGTATATTTGATAGGGTCAAAATACAGTAATTCTTTTTAAACATTATAGAGAACTAATCTTAATTGTTACTACAGATAATATACAGAAAGTTCCGAGGTTTTTTAATACTTGAAATACAACAAACAGGTTTTTATTTGATTGTGGCTTAAATCTTCAATTTTCAGATGGTCTGAAGTCACTGAAAAATCTTCAGCAATTAACTGTGGACCATAATCAGTTAATCAGCACAAAAGGTCTTTGTGAGGTGCCTACTCTCATTTACCTAGACTGCTCTTTTAATCATCTCACACAAGTTGAAGACATTGAGAATTGTGGCCTACTTCAAGTTCTGAAGTTGCAAGGCAATAATCTCCAGGAGGTAAAAGCTTTGGATTTAGTGGCTATTGTTAACATTTTTGTTAACAGTCATATTTTCAACATTCTGATCATGTGCTCTTTTGATTGGTGTGGGATTTTTCATGCTCTTTGGTAACTTTTTTTTTCCCTTCTTAGAGGGAAATTTTTCTGATATACAAATGGCTAGTAGTTAAGTATTTTCTTACTCCTAAATCCTTGGAATAATCGACCCCTCAATAATTATGATTTGTCCTTTGCTTATAGCGTCTATCCTTCAGGGTTTTTTTATTTGAGTCTGTTTTTTGTTTAAAATGTAACAAAATATTATTATCTACTTATACGTAATGTTATAATAATAAGATAATTATATCAGGCTGATAATAATGATATAATTGTCATTATGTGCAAGTAATTACTTTTTATCATTACTTATATGTAATGATAATAATATCATTATTATCAGCCCGATAAAAATCAGGCTGATTTGATGTATGTTGATTCTCCAAGACTTGATATTTAAGTGCTGCAGCATTTAAAATAGGAAAATTGTTTGCTAACTCTGCACTTAATCATATTTACTGACAATTATGTTCTTATGAATTTGAGAGAGGAAAACCATCGTTGATAGGCAGCAAATAACTACATGAATAAAATAGTAAGATTGTGACTCTTGGGCTCTTGACCTTTTTTTTTAAATTAATTTATATTGACTATTCAAACTTGTTAGAAGACATTAAAAAATACTTACCATCCAATATGTAGTGATTATGTGTGACAACTGGTACATACATATTAAGGAAAGGATACGTATATCCAGAATGTGAGTTTTGCTTGTATTTAGTAATGATTTATGAAAAGCATCTGGTAAGCATTTCATTGTTGTTTCTCTGATTTATATTAATTTTAAATAACCATCTCTTTTTGTTTAGCTTCCAAGACTGGAAAATCATGTTCTCCTAAGAGAACTATATTTGGATGACAATAGCATTTCTACTGTGAGAATGCTTTCTTTTTATTGGTTGCCTCTATTGCAGATTCTTTTTCTGTCTCAAAATAGGTAAGCAAGAAACCTTCTTCCACGTACAAAACTGATAGAGAGGAATTTGCTAACATAACTCTTGTCTGAAAAGTATCATTCTCAATGTGGCTGAAATTTTACTATCTTTGAGATATTCTTTGAAAATATGTGGTTGGCATGGAATTACTTTGACTACCTCTAGCTAAGAAAATTTGAAACAGTTTTAACTATGAAATTAATTTTTTTCTCTTAGATGCTATGTGAAAATATTTTTTGAGCACTGTGGCATCGTTAAAACCGTGGTGGGGTTTTTTCTTTCTTTAGCAATTGTTTCTAGAGTATGTCTGTCAAACTTCCTATTTCACAGCTAGCTTATTCAAAACAGACTTGGAAGGCTAAGTTAAGTGCAAGTACTAGAGTTAGAAAGGACAAATAAGAATGTTTTTTATTTTACATACATATGTTAATACCCTCCAAAATAAGTATGTTTTCACTCTTATGGTTCAGTTTGAAAGGTATAAAATAAAGAAAGATCAAGACAAGAGGCACAAAACTACATCATGGACTCAAGTACTCTGTAATTAGCTTTCTGGTTTTTTTCTAAGCTAATCTATACATCTTTAGAGTTAGAATGACCAGATATCCTGGAGTCAGCATTTTTATTTTCCCCGTCCCCTTTTCTCAGTTTAAATTCTGCTAAAAAATAAGAAACATTTATTATAATTTACAATGTGTTAGAAGTAAAATGAATTTTAAATTAATATCAATTATTTTTCTACACTTGCTTTGAACAAGATTTATCTCAGCTAAACAAGTAGAATATACTCTGTTACGTACCATATACAGAGTATACACTTTGAACTAATCACTTACTCTCCTGTTAGTGAGGAGGAGAGGTTTTTAAAGGACGATTCATCTGCCATTTTTAGTTGTTTGCTTTGAGACTAATCATACCCTACAAGTGCCTGTTCATCTTCATTGACTGTTAACAGAGACAAAATGACCAACTCGTATGTAGGTGTCTACATTTGAACACATGAATCCAGTCCTATGTGACATTTAGTTCAGCAGGGCCAATTGCATCTGGAAGCCTGTGGGAGAAAAGATCTATAAGATTGAGTCCTGTTCTTATAAGGAATGTCCTTCATGGAAAATGAATACTATTTAAGTATATACAACGTACATTTTTATGTAACTTTTCAAGTCGTTTTCATATCATCTATTGTGAATTACTCTTTATATAGAGTGCCACAGGTAAATATAATACCCACAGAATCTAATCTTCAAGTTCCTGCCTGGGCTTTTAGGGTTTAGGATTCTGTCTCTTAGTAATTCTTTTGGAGTTTGGAGAAGGTGCCTCCTGCCTGTGATTGACAAGAGCATTATTTGTTACGTGTTAGATTTTGAGTCGCACATACTGATTTAATTCATGTTCTTTGCTTCTTTCCCCCCACCGTTGTTGTGTTTAGGTTTTTTGTGGAACACACAATAACACGGCTCTATATTCTTGTAGTTTCCTCCTCTTCCTCCAGTGTAGCTATCCTGTAATAAAGTGTTTGCAAAACTCCTTGGAGACCTCATGGACCTGCTAGGGACTTGTGAGAATGGTCTCAGGCTTAGCTTGAATGCCGCCTCTCGATTTGGGTTGTGCTGTATTGACCATGTGGATGTGCCTTATGTCACTTGCCTATACCATGTTCTTACAGTTTTTAATGTCCATTATCGTGCTTGCTCTGGTTTTCCAGTAGCCAAGTTGAGATGCAGTGTTTGGTCCACTGAATTTCTTCTGCTGCACTGGGAGAAAGCACATATTTTTGCATCAACACACTGGATGTGCTGAAAATAAACATATATCTCCTTCCCAAACAGTTCCCTTTCTTTCCTTGATGCATCTATACCTTGTCTCAGATCTTTGTGACAAACAGGACAGGATAGCCTTAAATTCATATTAAAAGCCTCAAAATTCCTGGCATTTCAGTAGCCTGCTCTGGTACACTCACTTTATGTACACTTTTAAGCAGCTCCATATGTGTGTGCTATAGCCTAAGTAACTTGATGTTCTATAGAAACAGTGAATGTAATGGAGTAAGCTGTTGAAATAAAAGCTGTTTCTTCTCTTTTATCGTACAGCTAGTGCAATTTTGTGAATTTTTTCCAAGTGTGCACTGAGTGCCATTTCCTTTTTACTGTTTGCAGGAAGCCATATAATGGTAATGCTATGAATCTGTATTCTTTCTAAAAGTGAAGTACTGTGAAAAGAAAATTTTTACACTAGTTTACAGGACTTTTTTATTCCTGAGATGCTTTATCTGCATCATAAACCAGAAGTCGTCAAAGATAAAACTCCAAAGTGTAATTGTTTTAAACCTACAATCTAACAAGGAATTACAACAGATAGCGATTAACTCCTTCAAATATAAAAATGACAGCTATTTCATCACTTCTGCTTTTATTAAGTGTTTTCATGTGGTTTTCACATACAAAGCATATTCTTGATCAATGTGCGATTGACCAAAGACGATGATGAATATCCTTTCAACATGGTTACTGCAGAATTGGGACTATAAGATCCTTGCTCTATTTTATAGCAGCTGGAGAACACAACTGTTAAGTTAGTTTAAAAAGGGGCATTTTCTTTATTCTTCTGTTGTGGATAAAGATTTAGGTGTAGGAGAGAAAAATTTGTGTCTGTGACTAAAATTAATGAATATTTAATATGTGTTAGGACTTCATGTGGCATTTATATTTGCGTGTAATGCACTTAATTATATAGCTTGCTTGTTAATGTCTTTTTCACTTAAAAGTTTTACAGTGAGACACTAAATCAATGTGCTGTTTAGGTAGCTATTTTTTTTCAACTTGGAAATAGACCTAAACCCTCTTACTATTGTCTTAGTATGGCATTAATATGACAATGTTCTTTTTTTGCTATCTCTTACTTTTCATTAAAGTAATCTAAGTGAGATAGATAAAAATTAATTATTTAAAAAAATGGAGTCATCTGCAAAAGTTCCTCTTTTTTGGGGGAAACTGGTTGGGCCTGAATCTTGTAGACAATATTGCTCCCATGATTTTGCAACTAGATGTATACTATTCTTAAAATGCTTATGTTAGAAATGCTAAAAAGTCTGTTCAGTTCATTCCTAGTGCATATTGTTCTCTCTAATTAAATATATATGGAATCTATGTTTTTCACCTAATTTCTCAGATGTAAGAGATGAGCTCACTGTGATTGATATTTGGAGAATTTGACCACTTTTCCAGTCATCATAATAAATCTAAGTGTCATTAGATGTCGAAATAAGTCAGTCATGAAAAAGTTATACTTAATTACAGTGATTTTTCCCATCCTATCCTTACCATTCAAGATTTTTTTTTATATTTTTCAGTAATTCTTTGCTGGTGATAAGTTTATCTCTAAGAATGTGACATCATGGGTAATATACTTGAAGTACTGTCTACTAGAGTATTCAAGAAGCAAGGGGCTAACTGACAAGTTTCCTATATTCTGTGTGATTGCTAGTCATAAATATGGCGAATATTGCAACCTAAACTGTTTTTAATTTAATGAATGAAAAATAAATATCGGCTTTACTTAAAGGTCTAGATTAAGATAAATTTATTTTAATTATTTTACCCTTCTTCCTGCCAACTGCTCATTAACATTAAGATAATTTTTCTGGGGAAAAGCAGATGCACAGCAGGATTTAGACCATCTTGAGCAGTAACTGCTATTCATGTTCAGAAAAGCAATCTCTATTTTCTCTGATGCATACTTGCAACTATTCTTAAATCTTGTTTTCTGACATAGAGTTTATGTAGTTTATGTGGCAATGCCTCGTTCCACTACAGCCTTAAATGGGAGCAGAAAGAGGAAGCTATAGCTTGCTTTTTTATGAATATCTTTTACTTTTGTGTCTTCTTTGTAATTTATATCTCTCATGCCCAGGGCTAATGTGACAAGGTCAAGTAGTATTAAGTTTTCAGTAATGTCCTTTGTCTTTCTGGTTTGAATTTTCTTAGGAAAAAAATTAACAAAGAATGTCAGTAAAGGGAAAAGCTATAGAATGACGAGGAAACGTTTTAACTCTCTTAATGCCACCGGCAGGCAAGGACAGTCCGATAGACAATTTCTAATTCACTACAGCATATACTGATAAAGATCCAGAGAACTCACTCACTATAAGTAAAATAAACCTGTATTATTTTTTGTCTCTGATGCAAGATATGACATTTATTTTTCTAGATATTTCTGAATATGTGAATCTATAATCTGAGACATGGATTTGCAACCATACTGTTATCCAGTAATATCTATGATAATATTTGTGTCAGATATTAAATATATTTATGTACTATTGACTGATCATGAAAATTTGTAGAACTATGTACAGATCTAAGTATAGTGCTTTATGCTTTTTAGAGTTAATACTTCTTTGTATTTATTTGATTCCATGGAAAACTTCCATGGCAGGAATGTAATAGAACTAAGTAGGACTAGAATGAGGACAACTTTACAATGTAGTTTGAGGAAAAAAAGGAAGCATAGTGGCATGTACTCAATTGTCTTTCTATCTGTTTCTCTGTTTACTCTTAAAATATTATGTCATTTTATAGAAATACTTGTCAACTGAAAGTGGAAATTATTTTTTTTTGGTTTGCATTTGGTTATATTTTCAATAAGAATAAAGAACCTACAACCAAGATTTGGTCCACAACCAGTGTACCAGAGTAAGATTCAGCTCTGTCTTTCAGTTGTAAAGCCTGTGGCAGAAACATGACATAGTCACACATTTCAGGAACTAATAAGCATTTTTGGCTCTGAACAATTTTAAGTTTATGGAGTGAGTGGGTTTCATTTTTTTGGAGGGTCATGTTTCTGGCAAAAAGAATTCTGACTTACACCTTTCAAAGGCATTACACCCTCAGAAAATACTACTTTCTATGAAAATTAGCATTCACAAGCTGACCACATGCATTGCCATTTCTGCTACCATTCTTTGTGCTAGGCCCTTGTCCTTACAGGGATGAAACATGTTACTGAAATGTGTATCTTTAAAAAAGATACAGTTGATGTAGTATGTGCTATACATAAACATTCGAGTTTTAGTTGATAGTTGGAGTTTCTTGCATCTTGATTTTAACTTTTCCTCCTTCTTTCATATTTAACATAAATCAAAATAAACTTTAATTTGAATGGTGATATTTGGCAATAGCCTGGCAACTGAATGAACCATTCAACATTCTGGCACCAGTGCAAGTTTGTAAGTAAAGAAACTGTAATGACACTGGGCATTAATTCTTTAGTTGCAGTGATCATACACATCTTACAATCCCAAATCATTTGTATAGATGAATGTCAGCTCAGTTTCTTTACATTTACTCTTGAATACTACAAATAAGAATTTTGTCCTGTCTTTAGTACTGCTTTGCTGCTCTATTGTACAAGAAAAGCTCTGAAAACACAAGAGCAATTCCATTACTCTGTATAATTAGCACCTATGTGACACCATCTTACAGAAGTAGTAAGACGGAGGAAGCACTAAAAATGTATTACAGGATAGTGCAGCCTTGACCTGTTAAAAAAACAGCTGTGACAACAATTTTGTTAGTTTTAGGATCTAGGAAGTAATGTACCGAGTGGAGAAGAGAAACAAACTGATAAGAAGTTTGAGCAATGAGAAATGAAGGAATAGGAAAGAAGACAAGCAGATTTTATTTCTCCATAAATAAGACCTTCTGTTAGTTCCATTCTAGTTATGGAGCCTAAAGAAAAGCCAACTGAGTTATGGAAATTTTACAAGACTTCAGATCTTCAGCATTAAATGCAAGACAGACAATGTAATATTTACCAGATGAAACAAAACATTAATGAGAAAATATTAAATAAAGAGCTACTGAGAAGACTAAGAATTACTTTCAAGTTAACATTTCAGTAATTAGTTCTAGCACCTTGGATAGCTAAATGAGCATTTTCTTATGTAAATAAGTAAATTGTCATAACTGTAAAAGATTCTGGTGCCTTCCTGTTTATGAACTGCTGTTTTATTTAATTAAAAAAAAATTCTCTTCTGTTTTGTTCTTAGATTAACTGAGCTTGTGCCTTTAAATTCATTTGTATCTTTGGAAAAGCTTAATATCAAAAATAACTGCTTGTCAGGTGAGTTGTATAAAAACACCATAAAGCACCATCTAAACAAGAATTTCTTAGTTAAATTATAAACTGATTTGAATGGGACTGTTCCCATGTATTTATGAGACATTTATACAGAAAATAAATAAATATTTTCCAAACATGAATGTTATAGATATTAATTATAACTATACTGGATAGGTAGCAGTATTCCTTGTAGGACTTCATGATATTGGTACATTTTACTTTCATGTAAGATTTTATGAAAAATAATATGGTTCTGCATTCAAATTTATATTTAGTTTTCTTTCCTACTATGACACAGATCTTGAAGATGTCCTTACATGGTTAAGTGGCTGTGATAAACTGAAGGAGTTGTCATTCAGTGGAAATCCTCTTCTTCAAGAAAGGAACTGGAGGTAAGAAAATAAATTAATTCGATAAATCAAAAAATTAAAAATCAGGCAAAAAATTGTTGTATGTATGTTAGTTAAATAGTAGAAACACTACCACACATTATGAACAGTCTTGATGCTGTGACAGGTTTAAGAGCAGCTAGAGAAGTAATTCCTGTAATACTAGCTAGAGAAGGGATAATGTTTATTAGAAGAAGAAAAAGTCAGAATGAATGGTTGCTTTTTCCTTAGTAGTTGAGGCTTAGCTTTTTTTCTGGTTCTTAGAATTCCTTATCTTTACATCAAAAATTAATAGCTCTAATAATTATGAATTAAAGAGATGTAAGAGTAATGCTGTTGTTTGCCCTTCAGAGGCATATAATACTGAAAAAATTATCTGAAAAATCAAGCTGGTCCTAGAAACTATAATGTCTATATAGAAAAAACAGAAAAGGAGTAGAAAAGAAACTTGACATACGAAATGATATGCAGTTACCAGAATCCCTGAAATGAGTAGTTATGATAGGATTGTTAACCGATAGGATTGTTAAACATAGGAATAAAATGGCACATGGATAGTTTTTTTGTATATTTTTCTGTATGTTGGACACAGTACTCAAGGTGTGGCCTCACCAGTGCCAAGTACAAGGGGAGGATCATTGCCTTAGTCCTGCTGGCCGCAGTGTTTCTGGTACAAGCCAGGATACCACTGGCCACCTGGGCACACTGCTGGCTCAAGTTCAGCCAGCTGTCAAACAGCACCCCCAGGTCCTTTGCCACTGAGCAGCTTTCCAGGCACTCTGCTTCTAACCTGTAGCTCTTCATGGGGTTGTTGTGACCCTGGCACTTGGCCTAATTAAACCTCGTACTGTTGGCCTCAGCCCATTGATCCAACCTGTCCAGATCCCTCTGCAGAGCTTTCCTGTCCTCCAGCAGATCAACACTCCTGCCCAATGTGGTTTTGTCTGCGAACTTACTGAGGTGTCTTTGATCTCCTCATCTGAATCATCAGTAGAGATATTAAACAGGACTGCCCCCACTACTAAGCCTTGAGAAAGCTGCCAACTGGATGTAGCACTATTTACCCCTAGAAGTCTCCTTGTTTCTTAAGAATTCCATGATCTGAAACCCTATTTGTGGGCCAGTGCCATGAGGACTTAAAGCCCTCTGAGAAAATTGCTCTGAGAAAATTGCTCAGCAAAAGCACAGTAGTGTTTTTTTAATTTACTGTGTTCTTTCATCTTCCTTAGAATTAATACTTTATAGTCTACAGCCCTTCAAGAGCGGCATACTAGTTAGAAATGAAATTTTAGATTTTTAGATGATGTTCCAGAGATTACGTGTGTTCAAATGGTAGAATGTCTGTTAGTGACACTCTAATTCCATTGAATGTAAAAAGAAGCATTTAATCAGTAAGAATTTAAATCATTACCAATTCTTTCAGCTAAGGAGACCAAGTATTTACCTAGGAAAGTGTTAACAAAATTAAATGTCTGAGGAAATGATATTAGGCACAACAGTTGGACTTCCATTTTGGATGTAATTAAAATATATGACAGATTTTTTTATTAGAAAAATATGATTTTTCCTAGTAATTTTGAAGAATCACCAAACTTGTTACTTGTATAATTTCAGGTTAGTTAAAGGGTAAGGCTTTACACTGCAATGTTACACAAGAATCTGTTTAGGTAAATTATGTTCACATTTGATATATTAGATTGCCTAGTGTAATGGCAACAAAGTTTGGGATATGTGTGTGTTTTGGAGTGTGTATTGTATTAAGAGAAAAAAAGGAAAATGAAACCACTCTTATGTTTCTATTTGAAGATTTTTGCACAAATTTATGATTAGTATTCTAGTAGAAAAATAACTATTTGAAACTTTTAGTTGGGAATGTTTGAATAGTTTAAGAGATACCTGTATAAGTACATTCTTGATTGGTATGTTTGTTTTTTAATGAAGAAAGTTATTTGCACTCCCATGGTTCCTGCAAGTAATTTCATTAATAAAATTTCATAACTGTGACAATTATTTGCATTGTTTTAATTCCCACTGTTTTACAGAACTAACTCTTATTTCACTTGTAACCTGGAGGGAAAAGCTTTCTGAATTTCAATTTAGCTTTAAGAACTGACACTTCAGATTGCTTAACCCAATAGAGCTTTTATGATTAGACAAGAGATTCATTTGTCTAAAGGATTTAAAGTATGGAATACTATAAAATATGGATTTGCTGAATACAGCATTGACTGTAACTTCAGGCAATATGTTCCAGTGAACTTTACATAACCCCTTGATACCAACAAAGGAATTAGTTGTAAAATTTCCCAATCAGTTTTGTACTTTCATGTCCAGCCAGCGATAACACCAACAAAAGTGAAAGTAGTAAGAAATTTCTTTTTAAAAATTAAACCCTGGGATCAGTCTGAGCACTCCTAGGGGAATATGTTTCAATGCTGTAATGATTAATAGAGCCTCTTAACTGACAGAATATTCACCAGGAAGTTTTCACTAAATGAAATGTTTACTCAGCCCTTCACTAGGAGAAACCCAGCTGGAAAAACTAGTGATGAGATCCCATAGCTCTAAGACACGATACTTCCAGCATTGATCAACTTTGATATGGCACTTTTTTAGGTGTATCACTATTCAACATCAATTTTGGTAATTTCTCTTTATATATTGAGGAACTATTGATCTAAACCCATCATTTTATTCCAAATATACTTCAGACAGTCTTAGCTTTCATTAATGGGCAGTAGTGAAGGAAAGTGTTCTATTTGCAAAAAACTTAATATTCTATTCTAAGTAGTAAGTATTAAGAAGTCTTGCTATGTTCTGGGTTTTATTCTGAGTTCTGTAGTTTAATAAGTATAAATTTTTAGTTAGTATGTTAACATATGAAGTAAGTACATATGTACCAATACTTAGAGAACTAACTTCATGTTCTGTCTTGTTGTCTGATTGTATCAATAAAATGGGTGTTTTAGCATAAGGATTTTTTTGTAGAACTAATTATGACTTTTTTTTTTTCCTAAGATCTTCCTTGTTTAAGGTTCTTCCTACTTTACAGTCTCTTGATGGTGAAATCTTAACTTATCATAATTTACCAACAACTGAAATAATCAAAGAACCAGAATTAAGAACTTTTCTGGAACTTTGTCAAGCTCAAATTGAAGAAAATATTCAACTGAAAAAAAAGACTGCTGAATTGGAGTATGTATTATTGTGAATATAAATTGCATTCAGAAATATGTTTTCATGTACTGCTAGTGAAGTTCTTGGTGTCTTATGAATTTTATTTAGGGTTTTTTTTGCCTGGAAATGTATTATGAAAAGGAAGAGATGGGAATCATTTACTGCAATCCAAAGTCTATTTTACACAGATATTAAGATATGTGGGCCTTGAGTTTTGTTTCTTTAAGTCTGAGAAAACAAGTTGTTCAAAACCTGCATTTAGTAGTAGCTGAATGAATTTGTACACACAACACAGCATGGTGCTATGCAGGATTACTAGTTTAAATCCTGGAACATGATTTCCAGCTTTAACTTAATCAAATGTAGTTTGGCTATTGGTGCAATATGCTCTATTTTTCTTTCTGTGTTTGTTTTCCATGTATATATTACTTGCATTCTAAATAATTGCAAAAAAATTGACCTCTTCTTTCTTAAGGTAGTGGATCAGATGGATCTGTTTCTAGGTCTTTGATTTCACCATACTTACCACCTTTATTACTATTACCATTGTTAATTGTCTAGTGACTTCAGCTTAGACCATGAAAGTTTTGATTTATCACTTATATCTGCTATCTTCTAATTGTTTTGTAATATCTAAATAGGTCAAACTTCTCATGTTTCTGCACTTGGTAACATTGCATATTTTTTTCTTTCATAGTTGCTTTTCATTTCCTATCAGGTTCACAATATCCCTATAGTCCTTTTAATATCCACCTTGTCTGCTAATATTTGGAAAGATAGTTTTCTTCATTCTACCAGGTACTGAACGATATCCCAGAGCAGATGAAGCATGTGATGTTTGACAGTGTTTTAGTCTGAACTTTGCCTACTCTGTTGGTTCAGGAAAAGTACGCACACTTTTTTCAGAATCTGATTGTTTTATATTTGCATATAAGCCTGTATATCCATGGTATCTGTAACAGTTTATTACTTTGGTGTATTATTGGCTTTTGCTAAGCTGCAGTGACATCTTCATAGCTCAGAACCAGATTAATTTGAAACAAGGTTTGGATTAAGAATTAGATTGAAATTCATTTGGGAGAAGTTACACAGTGCAGTTTTCTATAACAGATGTAATGTGTAGGTTGCTCCTAAAACTCATTTATTTCTCCATTAAAGCTCCAAGGTATGTCTTCTCCACTTTTGTGATTTTTGGCTTCTGGTTTGCATGTTGGAAGCTGATACTTCCTAATCTATTTACCACCTCGAAATGGCGTTCCTTCCTTTCTTTTTCTTAAAAGGAAAAAAGAAGAGGAAAAAATAAATAAAGCACTCTGCCTCCTTTATGGTTGAGAAAAATTTTCTGTGTCTGATATTTAGGACCAGTTTCATCATTATCCCTTGCAGAAAATAGTGCTGATCTATAATTAGGATATAACTTGTGGGAGAACTATAGTAGAATCTGAGGGCCTAACTTTCACATGCGTTTCTGCAAGATGGTAAAAAATGGAAGAGAAAGATGATATTCATAAAATTTAATATTTTTTTAAACTATGGTCTGCATGAATGGACATAAGTAAGAAAGATACATAAGAAACTTGTTGAATAGTCAGACTCAGACCAACCATTAACTATTAATAGTAAATTCCTAGGCTTATGGTACTTTCTGGAGGCTGACTTGTACGTCTAATATCTTCTATCGAAGACTGGGAGCAGGAGGTGGAGCGTACACTTACTATACTCGCAGATCACAAAAAATTTGGAGGCAATTGTTTACATGCCTGAGGGGAGAGCTACCAGACAGAAGGACATTCTGGGGAGACAGGTCAACAGGAGCCTTGTAAATTCAGCAAGGACAAGTGCAAAGTTCTTTACCGAGGAAGGAGGTAAAGAAAGGAGGCCGCCTGCCCACTCCCAGGCTACTTGCTGAATGGAAGAGAGAAGGCCTTGACTTTGTCCAGGCACTGTTCAGCAAAACATTAGTCTTTTATCAATTTAGTTCCAGTCATGAATCTAAAACACAGCACCATATGGACGCCTGTAATGAGAATTAATTCATCCCAGCCAGAGTCAGGACAATTGGACATAAGGAAAAATCTTTTCACTGTTGGGACAGTGATGAATTGCAACAGATTGCCCAGAGAGATCTCCTTGTTCTTGGAGATTTTCAAGACCTGACTGGATAAAGCCCTGAGAAGCCTGGTCTGATCTGAGAGCTAATCTAGCTTTGAAGCAGAAGGTTGAACTAGAGACCTCCTGAGTTCCTTCAATTGAGAATTTTTCTATGATTCTATGTCAGTTTTGTTTGAAAGAGCCTGCAGATGTTTGAGAAGAACAGTAGTGGAAGAGGATATTATGTAAACGTCTCTTCTTTCTGGAATATATGATTTGGGTGGAGAGGGGGAGGACAGGGTACAGGGAGAAGGGAGGGTTGTGGGGTTCTTGAGATTTTGCGAATTCATTCACAATCTTTTGAATTGGTAACTTTGACATGATTGAAACATCTTCTATCAAATTTAGAATTAAAATTAATTTCTTATGTGTTAAAACCCTTTTATTTTGCCTAAAGTAAAATTTATGGATGAATTGAAAACCATTGAAAACTGCAATTCATAAAAGGAACTCTAAACAACTTGTTTGTATATAAGCCTTAACAGCATAGCTATTATATGTACATATTGCAATGCTTTGACTGAATTAATGTGACATTGCTAAAGAACAGGCCAACAATAGAGCAAACTTCTGTCTGTTTCCCATCTTGCTAAGTTATAAGCCTCTGTAGGTGCGACCTCAAGTATGTAAGCTGCCAAAAGTAATCACTGCTTGCTTCCCTAATTCATGTTTCATACACCACTGCTGCCCAGTTAAATGATCTGTGCTGTTTCTTTCTGAAACTTCTCTGTTGATGCCATGCTTAAGAATAAAACTTATTTTAAAATTTAATTTCTCTATTCTAATAAATGTTTTCTGTCACACATTCTTTAGATGACTTGTAATGAGTAATCATATAAAAAATATAGCACCTTGGTTGCAGCAGTTTGCTTTCAGTCATCAGATATGCAGATGTCTGGCTAGTGGAACTGTATAAATACTGTATGGATAATACAGTGAAAATGACAGGAATTTCATAAATGGTATTACAAGGAGAGAATATGTAAACAATGACCTCTTTCATGTGTTTTTAAGGGTCTTTTGTAGGCTGCAGTTGAACATCAGTAATGATGCTTATAGAAACTTCTCTGAAGACAAATTAGATTTTACAACACTGTAGCAAAAACACGCTCACATAAATTGTACTATTTGACTATTTCATGTATCATAATTATGAAAATCACAGTAGAGCCACAAAGGGAAAAACATGATATTAGGCAAAGTTTTAACTGGTACACAAACTAGTACACAAAGAGGTAGAATATTGTTTATGATTTAGCTGATAAGGCCAGGAGAAAACTGCTGTTCCTGATTAGAACTGACTTGTTTCTCCACTGTCTTTTTTGCCTCTGAGAGATTTGTTCTGCTGACTTTTCCAGACTTATTGCTTCTTTCTGAGAAAAGTATGCTCTTTGAATAACCTGGCAGTCATTCCAGATGTGATTGCAGTAAGAAATTCTATACAAAATGTATCAGCTCTATAAGCAAACTTCTGTAACCACCTTAAACTTCCTAAGTAGCAACACTTTGGCTGATTTAAACTCCACTGAAAGGCCTTTAAGAATGAATAACTTTGTCCTTTTCCATGTCTTTTAACTCAGCCTGTGCATGAATCCTTACACTTCCTAGATGCTGCCAGTGGGGGTTTACTCCTCTCCACCTCTACTCCTCCCTTCCCAAATGCTGCATGTGAAACTGAGCAGGGTTTGGTCTAAATTAACCAAGACAGTGATGGATACTCTTGGTGGATTGATGTGAGGACTGAAATTGTAACAGTCATTCATAAATGCCTGATTTCAATTTCCAAAGAGATTAAAATCTTATTCTAATGGGTTTATCTTTCCTCAAAGTCCCTGGAAAATGCTAGCACAAATAGAGAGGTATCTGTTTGTAAAAAAAGCTACAGGTAGCTTTCTGCTGTTAACATTTGTTTGTGAAGATAATATCTCAGTCTTTAGGTAGTATCAGGACCACTATTATAGCACATGTGTGCATTGCTGCAAAAGACCCAGCCCTTTCTCTCCTGGTTTATTCTCCTTTTCTCCCATGGCAAAAGGAGTTCATCCTTTGTGGTTATGCTAAAATTTGCATATGGCATAAATTACTTTCACTTGTTAGAATCAAAATATAACTGTGGGAAGCCAGGCAGCCGTTGAACATGAGGGAATGCACTGGTAAAAGCTGGAAGCCATAGAAATTTTGCTGTAGCAAGACCACTGTGTTCATCTACATTTCATTACATACTAAGCAGCCAGACGCTATGGATACTGGTGCTTCCATGAGATAATCCCATTTCTTATTTTGTATAGATGCCAGTTTATGCTTAAAACTTGGTTGTATCATAACCAAGAAGCAGTTCCAGAAGATTTAGTGTGACCAGACCCCTTGACCGATAGTACGGGAAAAGATCTGAAAGGCAAACAATGAATTTAAATTAACTGAAAAGGAAATACTGTGGTATCAAAAGTCTTAATGCTGTCATATTTCTTACCTTGTCTTCTCTCTTTCCTTGTATGTATGTTTTTTCTATTAAAGAAGTAAACCAGTCCTGCGTATTTTCCGTTACAGCAGCTTCCTTTCTCTGGTTTGAATAAGCAATCTTCAGGAGCAGGGCTCAGATATCACGAATGCAGGCCTATTGAGACACTGAGAAAGTTGCAGTGCATTGAGAGGATACCTGAAATCCCTGTTTTCCTAGGGACCTACAAGCTGACTGCTGCCTAGTACTCAGGCCCCATCATAATATTTGTTGTCTGTGCTTTGGAGCTTCACCCTTGCAGGAGAAGCCCAAATACAGTTACCAAGTCACTTCATTGCTCATAATTCTCTGAAATGTCACTTCAGCTTCCTTTATAGTTTCTTGAAACTTAAGCTGATCTGACTGCCTAAAAGGAAAGCACCGATACAGAGGGCAGCCTAAAAATCCTGCAAAATCAATGTATAGTTGTGAATTGCCAGGGAATGTATCAACTGGGAGACAGTGCATGCCCACAGCGACAAGACTGTATTTTTCAGCCACTGCTTGGGAAAACTTCTCAAAAAGCAACCTCTGTGAAAAAAAGTAACACATGATCCCTGGTGACCACAAAATTACTCCCTGCTTGAATTTTGAATTCCCATCAACCTCCCTTCCCATTTCTGCTTGACATATTCGTAGCCACTTAAAGGGTGAAACAGGTACTTGAGATACCCCTGCGCCTGTCATAGGAGAGGATGCACAAGTATCCTACTCGATTCACTGTTATAGTGGTTTGTTTTTCTTTCTTTCTGTTTCTCTTTTTGAGAATGAATATGGATACTCAGGATATGCTTTTCATGCAAAAGTTTATTTTGCCCCAATATATAAAACATTCTGGCATTTTCTGCAACATTTTTATTTTCAAATAAACAACAAAAGAACAGGGGGGAAAAAAATGTGGACATGGACTTTTTTTTAAATCTTTTTATTTTTTTTTTGTCTTCTCATCGTAGTATTTTTTGTACAAACTTGGTAACAATCTTGTACCAAATTTATCTTTATAAATACTTCAATGAATTAAAATTATTTGACTAAAATATTTAACTAATGCTATAGGTATTTTCCAGTAAAGAAATTGCTATTCTTAGTATATAGTGTGTTAGATCCTTAAACAAATATATGCATTGGTTTAAATATTTTTAGGAATTGTCATGTTTATGGAACTAACAGGAGTAGGAGTAATGTTGTGTAATGGACAATCAAATGCACAGCTATTGCACAATGAGTTGTGTGCTTAAGCTATGTGGATTTGGCTTCCAATTTAGCCATTCAGATTTTGTCCTTTAGCACTGAAGTTGCACTAACAGTAAGATCTTGTAAGATCTGATTCCCTATGTTCTTAAAAATCTAAAATGTTTTTAGTTGAACTTCGTTAGAGGATATAATTATAATGGTAAAGAGTCTTTTCACAGTAAAACCTTATAAAAGCTTCATCTTTCAAGAATGATGAACAAGAAGGAAAATTCTTTTATTCTAACTATAATTTTAGGACCTGATTTTTTCAGAAGCACAAGAAGATTGATTTTATTTCTACTTTTTGTCTTGAATTGCTGTCCTAGAATTGACTTTGTGCTCCTTGGAAATTAGCAACACATTACAGATCTCTGTATCTATCTATGTTATTGAAGAAAAATGTTTTCATGATTCCGGAAGTACCTGCTACCTAATATGATGGACGCTGTCCACAGGACAAACTGCCATCTGAATCTGTAACAGTTAATTCATATTTACTCTTACTCATCATTTACAGAGTGAAACACAAAGAACTGATGAGAGCCAGACTTCATAGATTACTGTTGCTTCAGTCTAGCACTTTACCTTATAGATGTATTGATAAATACATCTATACTTAAAAGTTTCTGTTTTCCTAAATTCTTTCTAGACATTGTGGTTTGTTGGTTTGATTCTAAGTCTGGGTTTGGTTGCTTTAGTTCTTATCTAAATTTTCAAATTACTGTTATTTTTATAGTAGCTTTCATAGTTCCCAGATAAGGGATTAATAAGGCAGCTTCAGGATTTATAGCAAAATTGCCTCAAATCCTCTAAAATTTTTAGTTTCCTATGCCTTTAACCACACAGAAAATAATTAGTGAAATGCATGCCCTAGTGCCTATTTGAAAAGACTTTAAAAAAAACCCCAAACTTTTTTCTTTAAAAAGGCAAAATAAAATAAGAAATCTATGTGAGCATATTTTAAATATGTCCAAAAGAAGACAAATGCTATTAAGATTTATGAGTGTTGAAAATTAGTTTCCAATCAGAATAATTGCTATTCCCTTAAGAATATGGAAACATGTAAGAATATTTGAAAATACAAGGTATTTTAGAAAATAATAGAGGGGATATATTCTTTTTAAAGCATTCTTACAGTCAGAAACACATGTAAAAACATTTTTATCTTTTTTTCAGAATTACCTCTTCTATTGATTCTGCACAGGGAAAATGCTGGTATTTTAATGAGTTGATGAAACTTAGTATTAAACATCGATATGCACATGAATACGGTGAACTAAATGTTATGGATAGAGATGGACCAGAAGCACTTCAAAATCATTTAGAACAAGCATCCACTGGCTGCCTACAGGAAAATAACCTCTTTATCATGGGTGTGACAGAAAATAAACAGGTCTTGTTGGATCCTTCCAAAAGATGGATTACTACTGGCGATACTCAGGCCACATTCATTAACTCCTCCATACCTGTACACCAAAAGGAAAATAAAGAAGATCAGAGAGTGAAGCAGAAGAGTACTGAATCTTGTATTAATTACAGTGGGGAGAGCAAAGACAACAATAACATGTCAGCCCAACTCACATCACAACAATCAGTGATAGTAGCAAGTACTATGAGAAGAAATCTCCAGCTTTTTGAGAATGATACGGAAAGGTAAGACAGATGTCAGATTGCTTTCAAATAGATTATTCAGATAGACAATAGGAGTGAGGATTTCTTATTTAAAACAGATGCAAAGAACTTGTAAGATAATATTTTTAAGCTTATTAGACAATAAAGAGTTATATTGAGGTGTTGCACACTAGGCTTCCATATTAACAAGAATCCTTTGTGATATTCTGTCAGTTGATATATTAGAATATAGATATGTAAGCACTTCAAATAATTTAAAAATACTGTATAATAAGAGAATTTGAAAACTTCCTCTTGGTCTCCTTCAATTTCCTTTTTTTTTTTTTTGCAATAATGTTGTGACATCAGTTCAAACACGCAGTGTTAAGAATGCAAATGCTGATGTTTTCCAGAAGCTTTGACTACAAACTAGTGTAAAGCTTTTTTGCTGTACTATTCATTAGACATTCAAGATTCATCTGTGTAGACTTTACAGTCAGTACCATTTAGAAGGCAAGAGGTAAAAATTCCTTAAATCTACCACCCTACTCCCTTGACCTTAGGCCTGTCTCCTGCTGTTGTGATGACTGAAGAGCTAGCAGCCTACCCTGCTTTTGGTACTCCTCCAACATGCCTCAACCTGCTTCTTAAAACTAGAGACAGGGGTGAGAGGCCAATTCAACTTTTTCCGTGCCCCTACATTTTCTCCCACATGAAATACACTGGCTTATTACCTCTGTGGAATGTATTTACTGCTGATTTGTGTGGGTTTGGATGTACAGTCAGGGGAAACAGAAGCTGATTTTTTTTTTGCCCTAAAGGGTCAAGGGTTCAGTTAACAATTTCATAAGAATTCAGTTTCAAAAATAGATGTCTTGAGAACACTATGAAAAGCAGTAATGGTGGGTGTGCTTCTTTGTTCTGTTTAGACATGGTAAATAGGCAGTAGTGCTTAGTGGATATTTAAGACACTAATAATTTGTCATAAAATTTATTATTCAGGAAGACCATGCAATTCATCATTACCTCTCAGCAAGTTGAAAGCAAGAGTACAGTAGTCTATTGCAGAAGATGAATGCTTAAAAAAATTATTTTTGAAAAGTTAATTTAGTATTTAGTTAATGTTTTAAATGCATTCTGTAAGTGTCTTTTTGGAGATGTCTGTTCAAAACAGAATGCAAACCATTATTTGTGTTTGTTTTTCCAATTCAGTTAATGCTTCCTACAGATCCAAAGCTTATAAAGAATTCATTTTTGGGGGTTGATAAACTTAATAAACACATTTAGGGCAAAAAAATTATATCTTGACCTCTGAAGTGTGCTGCTTTTTTTTTTTCTGAATAGTATTTCTCTATTTAAAGAGATACACTGCACAATGAAAGAAATTATGTAAAGATTAGGGGAAATTTAAACCCACTGTCCAATTGAAATGAGTATTTTGTGGAGAAAAGGTTTCCAAGATAGAAAAGATAGTAAAATCATAATGCAGAGCTGACATTAAACTTTTTCTCCATCAGTATAAATTAATTGAATATATATTTAGAAATCTCAATCACTGAACAAATCTAAATAGTCTGTAATTAGTGCTTGTTAAAAAATGAGCAAATTAGAAAATTTACATGGATAACCACTGGTCAGTAGTCTTAGATTAAAGGGTAAAAGCAGGAAAAAGATGAAATTGCGCTTTCCATTTCTTCTGTCTGCTCCATTGGAAATATCTGTCTCGTGCAGTTTTCTCTTTAGTGCTTGGTATTTGCTTCTTTGGTTTGTTGTTGTTGTTGTTGTTGTTTTATTTTTTTTTATACAGATGGTGGGAGTAAGCATACTCTTCCAAGAATTTATTCAGTCATTGTTAAACCAGTTCTACTCCTAATTCTTCCTTGGAGGACTCTTCCTCTACAATGATTATAAATGGAACAGAGCCCAGCAGAGATTAGTCTTTAGATAATTGGATTTCAGAAGTTATAGAATGTGAATATTCTTCTGAACATATATGTCACGTATGGGTTGTAATTTCATGTTTAATGGCAGAACTTTTCATTTGTCGCAAAGCACAGTGCTATGTTTTATGGTTGTAGTTTGGCAGATATGATAATCCAGTTGTACTGGCTGTGTCATTCATAAAGGTATTTATTTTTCTAGGAGAGTACATATGGCAGCGTCAGTGATCCAGTCCCTTTGGCGGCAGTACCGTGCTCGGAATAAAAATGACTGCAACAAAACAGAGAATCATCAGTATACAGAAGCATTGAGACAGAAGCATGAAGCTGCCACTGTAATCCAGGTTGGTTTATGGTACTCTCTTTACTTGTTTTGCAAATTAAATAAGAAAAAAAATCTTACTCATTTTCTGTACTTGTACTTCTATCTGTTTTTGCTTATGAATTTATTAATAATTTAATCATTAAACATTTTTGTTTTATTTATTCAACATAAGCTTGATGTTTCTAAAAGAGACACTTCTTTATGAAAAGTTTCATAGAAACATAAAAATATTTTCCCTATTTTCACCAAATATTTCCCTGACTTATTTTTGCTTGATTTAATTCTAATATTGTGCCTAAGAGATACTGTGCCCATGTTCTTACTGAGGTATGTCTGTGCTATTAAAGTGACAGATGCTGCACAAGTAATATATCGTGTCTGATATGACCAACTACTCTTCCTGTCTCTTCTATCCTACCTATCCATCTCTTTCCTTCTCTCCCCATCTCCAAAAACCAGGATTGCTTCATCCATATTGCTCTTGGGAACAGACCATGGCCTAGGCTATGGTAGATACTGAGCTGATAACAGTTAAATAGCATGGATTACCATTTGCAAGAGTTGAAGTCCATACCTTGATTCTGTCTAGTTTGCTAACCAGACAGAGTTAATGGGGTTTTTTTCTACATTTTGAAAGGAATTTACCCTGTGTTGGTTTCATATTTCAAGTTAACTTAGAAACATTCTGTATTGTAAGTCTTATATAAAAATGTCAGAAGTGACAGTGATTTAGGAGCAAAAATTTGTTACTGGAGTATATTGTGTAGCTAGCATATTAACAATTGATCTCAATAAGTTTATTTAATCCTTTTTTGAACTTATATATTTGACCTCTACTACATATTAAATCGATGAGTTTCACAGATTTATATGGTGATTAATATGTGCTTCTTTTCATGTGTTTCAAACATGATGATTTCCAAAGTGAGTATGAAAATAAAGTCCTTCATTATTTATCTTCTGTGTGTGTTACAGATTTTTAGGTCTCTCTTATATCCATCCTTACATACACTTTTTGGAAATAAAATTTTAGTCTGTTTAGTCTCTTTTCACATTACTCTGTAATTCTTTCTATCTTTTTATCCGCGTTTGAACCTTTGCCGCAATCTTTTAAAATCTTTTTTTAAAGAAGCAACTAGAACTTAATTCCATAGGCAGATATATAATGAATTAGTACAGTAAGACAGTTTTCCTCTTGTTTCTTAGAAGCTACTAACACGCAATTTTTCTTTTTGATTATGACTGAGCACTGACCTGAGCTTTCATAGATTTGTGTTTATCCTTCTGTAGATCTACAGTTTATCCTTCTGCATATATCATTAGGATTGCTTTTCTCCTTTGTATTTGTAAAAACTAGTTGTGTGTGTTGAATGAAATATATTTGTCGTTTGATCACTTAGTAATATCAGGGTATTTTGTCAGGATGCTTATGCAGATCTGTAGGAAAATAAGAATGAAATTATAAGAAAACAGTTCTAATACATTTAATAATTTTATAATAACCAGGAAATATGTGTGTAGAAAATGGTGAAATATTCATTAATTTACATGGTTGGACAATAATTTTCTAAAAATTAATGAGCTAAATGTTAAACCAGAATATGAGATTTA